CACTTAAAACGAACACCGATGATGAACAAGACAATTTCATATTCATTCGTAACAACATTTCTTGTAAAGTGTAAAAAAATATCACATTTTTTTCTCCTATTCTCTTCCTGATAATTGTAAAAATGTTGAGCATTTACAAGCGCGGGGGGGGGGGGGGGGGGGCAGTCGCTCCTACACCGTCACCGACCATGGCTTGAACGTACCCGGGGCCGCGGACTCAATCTGAAACGATCAATAACTCGTATAGAATATGCATGAACACCTGCGTCATGTGGTAATCTTGAGAGGTATAGGAATAGGAATTGAAATAAAAATCATGGATAATGAGCTTAAATAGATCCTAGTCCTCCTCTCTTGCTGCATAAATGGAACAGTTATGCAATATATCATTCCTTTGATTTAGATTCATCAGCTTTACCACATCCCTTTCTCAGAAGCTAACAGCACTGCCACATCCCTAGTTTAAATTCACCAACAGTGCCACAACTCTGACCTAAATCCCCGTGTATTATCACATCTCTAATCAAAACCCCATCCACGAGTAATTCCAGCATCATTTAACCCTAACCCACTTACGTCACAACGTCCATGATGATGATGGTGATTATTATTATTATTTATTATTATTTTTTTTAACCCACTACTATCATCAATCCCCTTACCAACCTCAGACCACCCCCCACCCACGACCTCATCCTACCAGGTCCTCTCTCCCCTCCCGCATTTACCTTCTGCGTGAGGAAGTCCTGGCAGGCCATTCGGATCTTCTCTGCCGTGGCCGGGGAGTCGAAACGAAACACGGGGTCGAGGCCTTGGTCGGCTCGAGCGGATGCCACGGCTTCCTTGAGGGCGAACAGCACCGAGGCAGCGAGGAACAGAGGTGGTTCTCCGACGGCCTGTTTTGGGAAACATATAACTCCACAGTAAATCTAAGTTTGTGGCGACGGCATTGTTTTTGGAGAGTGGCTTGTTAAAGGGGTTGTGATGATAAATGGTGGTTGGTTGATTTGTGTAATAATATTGATATTTGCTTGATATCAGTTATATTGATAAGAGATTATTAAAATGGGTGATAATAGTAATAGGTGATTTAGGTGTTAATAAAACTATAGTAAGTGGTTGTTACAAGTGAGACTATAATTACAGAGAGTGGTCGATTTGCGTTATGAGGATAAAAAATGGTCAGTTTGGGTGATAATAATAGCAGAAAGTGTTTGATTTAGGTGATAAAAGAAAATGTCATATGAAGGAACCTGCCAAAATAATTAACCACAATTATGTCTTGTACATCACCGGAAAGACGGTTTTGGACGTATAAATAATACAAAATCCTCCTTCATAAGTCTAAACTTTAACAAAATTACTTTGATCTTACAACATATACAAAAAACGTGTGTCACCCTCATATTGGTAAACAGACGTCATTATCCCCAAAACGAAAAATATATATATAATAAATCTATTTTGGTGCAGCAGTCCTCACCTTGGACGAGAAAACCGCTCTTGGGTTGGGCGCCCCGCGAAGAAGGGACACGTTGAACTCTCGTGGAATATCTTGGAAACCTTGAAAATACAAACAGTTCCATGAGACCAATTTAATACTTGTGGCGTTTAAGATGATGCTGTTGCTGTTGTTACTGAAGAGAAGTTGAATATATCGATGTGCGTATTTGGACTGATGGAGTTTGGATATATATTAGTGAATGTGATCTTAATAACGCAGAACTTATTGAAAGCAAATTTAATAATAATAACCTAGATGCTTTTTCAACACAATCATTGTCATAACCACCGTCATCATTCTAATAATTGTAAAAATTTCCAGTATCATCAAAATTAGTTCTTTACACTTTCACGATCTTAATTACCACCGACATTACCTGGAATCTTGTAAGCGCCGGGGCCGCGGGTGAGCAGCACGCCGTCGGGAGAGAACCGGAGCTCTTCTAAGGTATAGAGTCCGAGACCCTGCATGAAAGCACCCTCCACCTGCCCGATGTCGATGGCGGGGTTGAGCGAGTCGCCGACGTCCATCACGATGTCCGTGCGGAGGACCTGCGAGAAAGGCGGAGGGAGAAGAGAAAAAAAATCGATTGGTATAGGTGTTGTAGGTATTTCTCCTTCTTGAGTGCATGGACGGAGAATGGCGCGTGTTTAATCTCATGTTAAAGGTAAACTGGCAACTCAACCGGATTCTTGGAACACTCCGATTCATCGCTTTGTTTCCTAATACTTGTGTCTGCGTGTGTTTTGCATTTTAGAATTTATGTACAATATCTTATTTGCTTCTTAATTGAAATATACCGCTCTCTATACCACTTTATTAGTTTTCCAAAATAATAAAGTGCTATAGACAATTCCCATGTTCGGGTGAGTTGCCAGTTTCTTCTTTCCTTTGCTTAAACAGAGTACAGGCATATACATTTAGTTCACAGCAATCCGTCATGTCTTATATATACATATATACAATACTTTTCCCCACCATATGGACTGCATAATAAACATAACTAGACAAAATTAATCTATTTTCATTATCCTTGTTATTGTCATTATTACTGCCATTATTATTACAATTATCATTATCACTATCATTGGTTATTATCATTATTATTAATCTCTCTCTCTCTCTCTCTCTCTCTCTCTCTCTCTCTCTCTCTCTCTCTCTCTCTCTCTCCCTCTCTCTCTCTCTCTCTTCCCTTATCTCCGTTTTCTTTTAACTCTACTTCTCTCTTTTTTCTCTCTCCTCCCTTTCATTAACCCTTCATTCCTTTCTCGCCTTTCCTCTTTTTATATCCCTCATTTTCTTTCTCTCCACCTCTCTCTCCTCTTTATGTTTCCTCTCAAGCTCTCTCCTATTCTTATCTTCCCTCTCTCTCTCTCTCCCCTCTTTATCTTCCCTCTCTTTCTCTCTCCTCTTTATCTTCCCTCAATCTCTCTCTCCCCTCTTTATTTTCCCTCTCTTTCTCTCTCCTCTTTATCTTCCCTCTCTCTCTCTCTCCCCTCTTTATCTTCCCTCTCTCTCTCCCCACCCCTCTTTATCTTCCCCTTCTCTCTCCCCCCTCTACTTACCGAGTGATCTCCCGTGAGGCAGTCTATCTCGACCTCAGAGACAGACGCGCCGTAGCTGAAGTAATTGAATGGTCGTCCTTCCCCTTTCTCGAAGTCATAGCCGGTGATATCGGGGGTTCTGCAATGAACGTTATATTGTTGTAATATATTTAATCTTTCTTTCTCGCTTTCTCTACCTCTCTCTCTCATTCTTGTTCTCGCTTTCGCTCTCGCTCTCTGTCTCTGTCTCTGTCTCTCTCTGTATGTATATATATGTGTGTGTGTGTGTGTGTGTGTGTGTGTGTGTGTGTGTGTGTATGTGTGTGTGTGTAAACTAAAACAAAAAACTGACAACTGTAATTTGGCAATAATACTTGATAATTGAAAATGCATACGAAGATGAACACTAACCCTAACCCTGAACCGCTGCAAAAATAAATAAATAAATAAATCGATTAATCAATCAATTAATTTCTTAATTAACAAAAAATAAGGGACAAAATAAACAGATAAAACCTTACTTATAGAATCCCGTGGCCGAGAGAGAGACCCGGTCGAAGTACGCCGCTTTGATCCAGTCGTTCCAGCTTCCTTTGGGGCTGCTGGCAATGTAGGGTTCCAGCCGTTGCATGATCGTGTTGCATGCGTTCTGTGTAGACATGGGGGATTTAATGGGCGGTGAAAATGGCAGAAAAAGGTTGATAAAATGGCGATTATAAATGGGTAAGGGGAGGAGGTGAAGGGTTACAAAAAAATTAGGGAAATATAGTATATAGCGGAAGAATTCATGATATATAACAATCCTCCCAGACCTGGCCTCGAACCTAAGTCACTTCGGTTTCGAATTTCTAAATCAATTTCCACAGAGTGCCCACGGGGAGTGTGTGTAAAACCTCACTATCATTACTCATGTATAAGTAGATAGGTAATGTCTATGGAGCTAGTTAGATCCTAGTTGCACACTTCATTTAGTGGGTCGCGTGGCAAAGTTGGTTTAGTACTGGCCTTCCGGTCTCATACCCGGAGTGACCTAGGTTCGAGGCCAGGTTAGGGAGGATTGTTATAAATCTATATCAATGCGGCATTGCATTATTCCATCTTTCAGAATTCATGATGTTAATCAAATGGCGGAGAACATAAGAAACGGCAGAATACTCAATTGTGCTGCTGAGATGGATCACAAATAGCCGATGTTTTTATGTGTTGCTAAACTGGCGTGAAACATGAGAACTGGTATGAGATTTTACTGTTCATAAAAGGGTGGGAAAAGACCATGCATTACGGCACTTTAATCAAGATGAAATCCATTACAAAAGAGTTCACGGTGTTGATAAAACAAGAAAAACTGAAAACAATAGCATTTCGCGGAAAGACGTGTTTTACAATAGACTCTCTTGTTCCTAATAAATAATGCTGCGTTCGGAACTCTTCGTCCAACAAGAGGAACAACAACAAGAGTTTTTTGGCCGTTCTCAATCCCTACTTTCGCGTCCTGGAGATGTTCGAAGCCGGACGAGTAGGGAGAGATGACGTCACAATAACGCTTGTATGCAAATAATGGCATTTGCAGGCTATGACAAGATAGTGGTAGGTAATTTTATGGCCCTTCATTGTTGTTATCAAAGGGAATGTTTGTGCTTGTCTATTGCAGGTAAGTTAGCTATGCATCAGAGAAGTTACAAAAACCTATGCAGCGTGTAAATTCAAGACAGCGGTATGATAAAATAGTGAATATTTACTTTCGAGCTGGTGGGCAACGAAAGTCTCGGAAGTTTCGAACGCAGTATCGGCTAGTGTTGTGATTGGCTCGTTGGTTCCGCATTTTATTGCTTCGGTTCCGTTTAATCGGAAAAAATGTTTGTATCTATGTTGGGCATATATTTTTTTTTCTATTCATTATATATATATGTATATATATTTGTTTTTTGACCAATTATCGAAGAACACTCCTTATTTTGTTTTGGTTGAGGAATATATTCGGATTTTGAGAAAAAGGAGAAGACAGAGAAGAGGAAACGAAAACATTGATATTAAAAAACAGAATAGATGAAAGAAACAAACCCAGAACGCGAAGAGCAGAAAAAAAAAGTGTCAAAACAAGAAAAGGACTGAGAGAAAACACACACACACATAAAAATAACGAATCAATAAAGAGATGAATCAGAACCGTACCAAAACCGCCATTCCGTTGAGATCTGACGAGGCTGACGCGGCCGTGGGAGAGGTGTTGGGGACCTTGTCTGTGCTCGTCTCGGCGATGAAGATCCTGGAGGCTGGGATCTTGAGAGTCCTGGCGGCCACCTGGGAGAAGGAACGGAGATGGTGAGGGGGGTGGGGTGCGAGGGAGGGAAGGTAGGGAAGGAGGGGGGTGGGGTGCGAGGGAGGGTGGGAATAAAGGGGGGGGGGTGAGGTGCGAGGGAGGGAGGGAGAAAGGGGAGGGAAGGAGGAAGGGGAATGGAAAGGAAGGAAGGGAGGGAGAAAGGGGAAGATAGAGATAGAGAGAAAGAGAGAGAGAGAGAAAGAGAGAGAGAGAGAGAGAGAGGAGGGGGGGAGTTGTGGCATGGAGAAGGCGAAGGGTAAAATCTACGTACAATTGTTGTTATTATAATCACTATTATAATAATTATTGTTGTTATCATCATTCCCATTCTCATTGTTATTATTGTCATTATCATTATTATTATTATTATTATTATCATTGTTATTATTGTTATCAATATTATTATAATCATTATCATAATTATCATTACTAATAACATCATCAATATTATTATGCTGCTATCATTATCATTATTTTATCATAATCATCTTCACTCTCAAAATTCATCATCATCATGATTATCATCATTATCCTAAATATCACAAGCAGAATCTTCATCACTATTGTCATATATGCATTATCACTATCATATCTATTACTCTTGTTCTTATCATTATCATCATTATCATCATCCCAGTTTCATGATCAATACAGCACCAGAATACCAGGCCTGCACACCAATGAATGCAACGAAAACAGCAAAGTAAGCTTGTATCCCCACTTCATCCCCGTCCAAACCATAATGCGTTCGTATCCCTCGCTGAACAACTTGCCTGAATCATCTTGGTGTGAAGTCCTTGGCCCATCTCGGTGCCGCCGTGAGACAGGAGGACAGAGCCGTCAGTGTACACGTGGACGAGAGCCCCGGCCTGGTTGAGGAACACGGCGGTGTATGCGATGCCGAATTTGGTGGGGAGGACGGCTATGCCACGCTTTCTGTACTTGTTGTTACTGTGGAGATTTGGAGTGGCTTTTGGAAACATTGTTGTGCGGTTTTTTGAGGGAGATGGAGAGGAGAAGGGGGAGAGAGAAGAAGAGGGAGAGGGAGAAGAAGAAGAAGAGGAAGATGGAGAGGAGAGGAAGAGGAAGAGGGAGAGGATAGGGAGAGGGAGAACCAGAAGGAAAAGAAACAGAAAAAAGGAGAGGGAGAGAAGAAAGGAGAGAGAGAGGAGGGGGTGGAGAGCGCATGATTGGCCTACTATCCTATCTACAACACTAACTTCCGTAATCAGTTGCTCATTGAGTTCTAAATGTCCTATTACATTTACCAGAGAACTAAACATTTCATATCTTCCATACATCATTACACTTATCCCCACAACGACAGGGCCTCTGATGCATTCCCTTACGCGTTAAACAAGTCCACCGCCTCCTTCCGCTTATGGTATTCGGCCTGATGGATGACCTCCTCCCAGCATCTCCTGACGGTGCACTTCTCCAGCAGCTGGTCGAAGTGAGTCAAGTCCCCGGTATTGTAAAGGTTCTTTGCTCGCACCTGAGGGAACAGCGGAATTGAGATGGAGGGGCGGAGGCAGAGGGGAGAGGGAGGAAGGAGCGGAGAGTAAAGAGGAGAAGGATCCGAGGGAAGAAGGAAAGGGGTGTAAAGAGGAGAGGGATCCGGAGGAGGAGGGAGCGGGGAGAAAAGGGGACAGGGATCCGGGGGAGGAGGGAGCGGGGAGAAAAGGGGACAGGGATCCGGAGGAGGAGGGAGCGGGGAGAAAAGGGGACAAGGATCGGAGGAGGAGGGAGCGGGGAGAAAAGGGGACAGGGATCCGGGGGAGGAGGGAGCGGGGAGGAAAGGGGAGAGGGTCCCATGGATGGAGGGACGGAGGCAGAGGAGAGAGAGACCCGAGGGAGGAAGGGCGGGGAGTACAGGGGAAAGGAACCCAAGGGAGGGAGGGAACGGATCGAGGGAAGAAAAGAAAGAAGCGCATTGTTTAGTGATAAAATACAGGGTTTGTTTGGATAAGTCAGTCTGTAAAATCTCGATGTTGTTTTCATATTTCTCACGGCAGGCAAATGCCTCCACAAAACTTATTCATTGAGATACCAATATTTTGCAACTGCAACAAGAAATATACTAAATTTCTGTTACTGAATAAAAAAAAGAAAACCAAAAACAGGGGACATAT